TACAAAATAAATAAAATACATAATGGTAGAGAAAATTCCATTTACACTAACAACAAAGAAGATTAAAAATTTAGGAATTCATTTAATAAGAAATGTGCAAAACTGATACGAAGAAAATTTTGAAAGCTTCGTAAAAGACACTTGAACAAATGAAAAGACATCCTGTGTTCCTGGGTAGGATGACTCAGCATTATCAAATGTTACTTCTCCCAGAGTTAATTTATAAATTCAATGTAATGCCAATAATAATGTCAACAAACTATTTTATAGATTAGTAAGTTACTACTAAAGTTCATATGGAAAAACAACCAACCAAGAATAGCCTGGAAAAAGAAAACACAAGGGAGACTAGCCCCACCAAACATTAAGACAAACCATAAAATCTGTATAATTAAAAGAAGATGGTGCTCAGGCATGAATAGACTAGTGGAATAGAATAGAAAGTCTATAATTAGATCCAAATACATATGGAAATCTATAGATGATAATAATGGCATCTCGTGGATTAGAGACTGAGTGGGAAAAAAAATGAAACCATACAAGCACTAGAAGAAACTACGGGTGGATTCCATATTAACCTTGGTGTAGGAAAAGTCTATTAAACTGCGACAAAATCCAGAGGCAATGAAAGAAAGATGGTAACTTTGACTACATAAAAATAAAAGTGTTACGTGATTAAAAACACATGATAATGTTACATATAACAACTGAAAAACTGGGAGAAAATCTTTGCAACATATACCCCTGATAGAGAACTAAGATCCTTAATATACAAAGAACTCTTAACACTTGAGGGACAAAAAAAAAAGGCGGGGGAAACACAATGAGGGACAAAAAGAAAAACGGGGGAAAAGTCATGAGCGGACAATTCAGAACAAAGATATAAAAATTGTCCTCAAACTTATGAAAAAATGTTCAAACTTACTTGTAACTAGAGAAATGGGATTTACAACACAGATATCATTTTTCTCCTATTAGACTGGAAATAATTTTAAAAGATATGATGACAAATTTTGTTGGTGGGCGATGAGGAAACGTGCCTTCTCCTACATTGTTGGTGGGAATCTAAGTTGCTTCAACCTTCTAGAGAGAAATATGGCAAAATCTAACAAAACTACATATATGCATACCTTTTGACCCAATAACCCCACCTCTAGGAACCTACCCTGAAGATGCAACTCCAACAAAATGAAATACATATGTAAAGATTATTCTTTATGGCAATATTTATAATTGCAAAATATTGAGAATGGCTTAAATATCCATATATACGGGTGAATGGTTCAATAACCACCGTACATCCGCATGATGTACCATACAGTAGTACGCAGCCGTGCAAAAGAATGAGGAAGAGATCTCTGAATTGATGTGGAGCAACTTCCAGGACACACCGTTAAGCGACAACAGTAAAGTGCAAAAGAGTTCCTATTGTATGCTACCCTCCATGGAAATATGAAGGCGATAGAAGAAGATATACAGGTGTTTGCTCATTCATACAAAAGAAATAGAGGAAAGATAAACGTGAAACTCAAGAGAATGGCTGCCGACAAGGTGCGGGCAGGAAAGAGGTGGTGGGGATGGGGCCGAGGTAGAGGGATGAGCAGCACGTTGCACGTCTCTGATGTTATCTCCAAAATAACCACTGTGTTCTCCTTCAAATAAATTCCCTTTCATCTTTTTTTTTTTTGCTGCGGTTTTCAAAAAATGCAAATTGAACCTTATCTGTAGAATGGGAAACTTGCTTGGAAGGGGCTTCATTCTATTTTTCTTTTTTTCCAACACTGCATCTCGTAGCGCAGGTTGCTTTTCTCCGAAGGAACACCTATTTTTTTGACTGGCCATTCTGGCTGTAATGCATCATCATTAAGTTCTTCTCCTTTCTCTTTTCTTTGTTTGTGGAACTGGAGAACGGATTCATTTGGCTTTTCTTCCTAACTATTGTTTTTGGTCTGTCTTTCTAGCCACTGGTGTTGCCAATCTTGTCTCCTCGTCAGTCTTGGGCTTTTATGAAAGTGTTCAGTGTCCTGAAGCGAAAGTAACTTGTCTCTGGGCCCATTGGTGCTGTTCCAATATATTTCATTTTTGGGCTTTCCTGGGGCAGCACTATGTTTGTTCCTCAGTTGGAGGAAAGTCCAGGCAGATTTTCTGGAAGCCTTCCTGGGTTAGAACCTGATTAGTGCTGAGGGTGGCAGTTTTGGCTTCCACTCCTTCGTGAGCATGCTATCCGATTCTTGGAAAGTTCTTGCTGTTCTTCATGGAAAAGTGGTACACGTAAGCCCATTCACCACTGGCATCCTCCTCTTCCCTGAGATTGGTACTTTCCCACGCATCTTCAGCATTCTCTTCCTTTTTCTCAATTCCGGAATGTCTGCTCCTGAGATGCAATCTTTAGCATCTAATTCTCCATATTCTTGCACTCTCGCTTCTATTGAGGGCTCTGTAGGCTTACCCTAGAATTTCTTCTGCAACATCTGAGGATTTGGTGCTTGGAAGAGCTGAATCACAGTTGTAGCAGACCTCATCCCACTCTTATCTTTGGGGGTTATTTCCTCAGGACACAAGGGCTGCAGCCTGGCTCACTTCTCAGAAAACCCACACTGACAAACCCACCAACCCATCTGAGCACGGCTGGCATACTCGTGGGTGTCTCTTAATTTTTAAGCCAGTCAGAATTGGTTTCTGCTATTTGAAATCAAAAGAAAATTAACTGTAGTAATCAGAGCTGCATTTATAACTTGTAAAATTCCATTGTTGCTGCTTATGATTTGATATCTTTTAGTTCAAAGATTTGAAGTGTTAGTTATTAGTGCTTGCTTTTCAATGTTTGATTTCTTTGGAATTTAAGACTTTTGGTTTTGATTACATTGGTTGCCAATTTTTTCAGTGGTTTAGTAATAAACATTTATTCATTTACTTAAATGGGATTAATTTGGCTAGTTCACATAGATTAAAGTTTAATATCCAGATTGGCTAAATTTAGCTTCTTCCAGGAAATGAGAGTCTAGAATGGTTGTGATTGTGAGAAGTCATTTATTGAAATTAATCTTGGATTTGGTGAGCTGAGTGATATTCGCTAGTTCAGGGTTCTCAGTATCACAGAGGTTTTCCAACCAAAGGTTTAATAGAAATCCCTAATTTTAACACTGTGTAGGCATGAAACACCGAGGTTGAACCTCCAGGTTTGAGGTTAACAGTTTAAACAAAGTAATTCCAAAGGGAAAGTTTTTTTTTTTTTTACTAAATTCCTTGGTGACAAAAATGGGAACCATATTTGCAGCAACTAGGACAGTTACTGGCGAGCTATAATTTAAGGAAATCTGACTCGAGAGAGGGAGGGCTTGTGGAATCGCTCCTGCTGAGAGAAACATGTCCTGAGTCTTTCCTGGCTTGGCTTTTCTACTAACTAGCTGTGTGCCCTTGAGCAAATTAGCTTTTCAATGCTTCAGGTCTGTCAGCCATGAAACCGAGACGTTTATATTTTCTCTAACTCCCTCGTAGGATATATGAAAATCCACACTTGCCAAAAAATTAGATGAAGAAATGAGTATTTGTATTAAATAATTTTTATAAGAATATATCAAAAGAAATCTTTTATTTTTGGAGCTCCTAAGAAATGAACGTATATTCTTTATATGCTATTAATTATGTGATGGCATATGGAAATTAGCACGTAGGCATTCAATAAATGTTGAATGAATGAAAAAAGATGAAGAAGAATCTCTCAAACATTTAAAAGCTGCAGTCAGTTAAAGAATTTTAAGAAATGATGGTAAAGATAAGTCATAATACTATAAAATTCATTAAGAAAATATGACATATGATTTGGTTTAGACAAGTTTCAAGAACGTGTATGTTGGATAAAGTCAGATTCCTCTTTAGATCCACTGAGAATTTCACTGGACTTGGTGATTAAACAAACTTTTGAGCAAAAGAGAAATACGATTAATTATTTAGAATAAGTTATAAAGATTAAAACAGAACATAAGATATGGAACTCTTGTATTACAGTATGATAAAAAGGAATCATCAGGTTAATACATGGCGGTAGTTTCCAATGTACATTAGTCTGTTTTGTGAAAACAACCATTAAAAAAGAGAGACACTGAAAGTTGCCATTTTGTGCTGGCAGTACACTTCTTGTCTATTTTCTCAAAATCAAAAGCTCCATGCTGATTGATTTATCAAATCTGTAGAATGTTGACAGTGTAGAGAATGTATATACATCTCTTTTATCAGGTGGTTTGCTCTTCTGTCATTTCTTTTGTCTATATTTGTTCTTTCTAATCCTTTTCTCACTGTGAGAGATTCCATGTGCCCTCACTCCCATGGGAACTTATTCTCCGGTCTTAGCTGGTTGGATGGGTGTACATAACTGACTCAAGGGCAGTGGGCTGAACAGATTAGTTGGGCCAATTAGAGTGCTTTGTTGTGAATTTAGAGTTCATGAAACTGAAGACTAAGTTGGTTGGTGTTGAGAACTACAGCCGGTCAGATGAAGAACCAGAGAGGTCCTGTAGCGTTGGAACTGATGCCGCCATAATACCCAACTGAAAGTGATGGGCAAAGATGCACTGGAAAGGAGAGGTACATGGGTGGACAGAGAGAGGGAGAGAGGGAGGAAGAAAGAGAGAGAGCCAGAGAGAAAGAGAGAGAAAATACTTTCAGCTCTCAGCCCCTGGTCTCTGTTCTCTTGAGGCCAGCTGCTTTGGTTCCTTTCCTTTGGTCTCTGTGGGATTCTTTTGTATTCTGCAATGTCATTATGGTCCTCATACTACCTCGAATGATCCTTTATTTCTTAGAATAACTTTAATTAAAATACTTCAGATTATCCTCCCTGAGGCTACTTTATGTGGTTAACATAGCATGATATTTAGAAAATTCATACTTCCATTATTCATAAACAACTTTGAATTCTTTAGAAGGAAAAGCAAATTTATCCATTCTGTACAACTGTTCATGGACCACACACATGCAAAGCTCCGTGATGGAGGCGGACTCACCCACTGTTAATCTGCCTGTGACATTTCCTCCAGAGTTGCATGCGTTTACAGTCACATTCTTAGCTGACTGTAGAAGCAGCGAGGAGTCCTGGAAAGGGATTTACAAAATTAGCCAAATACATGCTATTTAAAATGACTGTATCTTTATATTTGTGTATAAATTTAGGATTTATATAAAATAATTTCTCCATAGTCACAGATCCTGTGATCCCATAAATTTGTGGCTAAAATTATTTTTAAAACTTGAATTTTGTTATGTTAAGGGGTTAATGTATTAACTTTTTTTCATAAAATATAGTAATCTCACGGGTTTGTAGTGCTTGTGTCCACTGGGTACAATGTGTCAAGTCAGTTCTCCAGGGGAAGATCTCAAACAACCAAGTTTTAATCAGTGTTTTTCCTTTCCAAGGAATTAAAATTTCATTTATTATTTATGTCCAGGATACGATATATTTTAAGAAGATAAATCAGAGAATTAGTTCTTCTATAATAAATACCATGTTTCTAATTTTCAAAATGCAAAGGCTTCTCACAATTTCAAAATAGCTTTTAAAATTTGTTGGATGCCTATGTTTTTGAGCTTTTTGTTGGAAGATAAAGTAGCTTTACGAGCACGTAAGTGCTTTCTGCGGCATCATAATTCTGAGTGGATGGTTTTGTTTTCCAGAAGAGTGCTTGCTTTTATAGAAACAATTTTCTTCAGAAGGAATGCAGCAATTTGCCTGTTGAATTCAGGTGGGTTTACGGTTCACTCAGAGGGAACCAAATATCTTCCAAAGTTGAATAATGTAATTGTTCAAAAGGAAAGAAGTTTCAGGAACACTTTGGAACTCTAGCAGGTCAGAAATCCTCCAACTTGCTCTGTGGAAGCAGCTGAATCTATCAGCATCTCATATTTTATCCAATGATGTGACCATAATACTTGTTTTTGCATTGTGAGAAAATAACTAGCATGATAATGAGTTAACAATTTACCAACAATTTTAGCACCCATCCTCTCGTTTTATCCTCCACATTTTGAAGTAGGTACCATTACCCCTAATATAGAGATGAGGAAATTGAGTCCAAAGAGATTAAATTACAGCTCACTCAAAGTCACAGCTAGCAAGTGACAGTTCCATGATGGAACCCAGTCTTTAGATGCCAACTCTTTTTACCATTCTCCTGGAATGGGAGGACAGGGCACAGGTTAGACCTGTGAGGTCCACTCCCACGCATGGACAAAGCAAGCTATTCTGGTAACCACTCTGGTTGTCTGGTCCAATACTTACCCTCAAACCCTTTTCTTTTTCTGCCTTCTACTTCAGGAGTTGGAAAGGCTAATTGCTTTCTCAGCCTGCCTTGAAGCTGGGGGACCCAAGTGACATAATTCTGGTCAATGAGATGTAAGCCAACATCTGCTGAGGCTGGGGCTGGGGTTTCTAGGCAAGCTTTTCCTTTCCTGATGAAAGGGATGCAGGCACTGGCACTGCACATTTCCCCGGTCACATGCTTTGCATGTGGCCTAGAAGACATCTAGTGCACAGGAGAGACAGGAGGATGGCACATATCTGGCTCCAAGGTTGCTGAGTGGTGAACTGATGCCATAGCTACCCCTTCTAGCTTCTTGTTACGTGAGCATAAAAGTTCCTATTAGGTTGTGCCACTGCTGAGGTAGACTTTCTGTTACTCACAGTATAAAGCAGAAATTGCCCTGTAAGAATATTAACAACAAAATGATCGAAACATTCCCCGTATTACTTAACAAAAGCTCTTGTATTGAATGGCACATGTTCTATAATCTACATTTTTGATAAAACAAGAACTTAAAACTATTAACAGGTGCATAAAAAATGTTTATTGTGGAGTAGAGGGGCATTATTTCCATTCTCTAGATGAGGCAGCTGAGATCTACAGCTTGTGAATGAATTTTCAGTTTTCGTAAGTAGCTAGTGATATCCTTTAGAAAAATTTTATGTCATTTATAGAATGTCAGTGAGGTAGAAAGAGAACATTTAATTTTTCCCTTCATCTGAATTGAATTCTGACTGTATTTATTGGATAAAAACAATGTATCATTCAACACTATATTTAGCCTTAGGAAGTAGATAAAAGAGCCACAGAACATGATAGCTTTTCTCCAGAGTGTGTGACCTAGATAAATAGCTGTGAGAGAGATGCATAAAAAGACCATTAACAACTAAGGATGTGTTGGTAGGGCCCAAAGATAGATGACAACTGTCCTGAGAGTTCTCAACAATCCCCTGTGGCCACTTCATACGCCTGCATAATTAACTACTTCACATTTGAACCTAAGATGGGAATGGCAGAGGCTGATTTAGTCACTGAAGCAGGATGCCTATGTTAAGAATTCTGTTAGACAGTATGTAGACAATTATATTTACTGGCATAAAGTTATTCAAAATATTCCCTTACCATTCTTTGAATGTCGGTAGGATCCTTAGTGGTGTCTCCTCTACTATTTCTGATATTGGTCATTTGTGTCCTGTCTTCTTAATGATTAGTCTGGTTAGAGTTTGATCAATTTCTATTGATCTTATAAAAGAACCAACTTTTGGTTTCACGGTTTTTCTCTACTGTTTTCAGGATTTCTATTTTATTGATTTCTGCTTTTTATTCTTTCATTCCTTCTCTTACTTTTGGTTTAATTTGTTCTTTTTCTAGTTTCTCAAGGAGTACGCTGAGGTCGTTGATTTTCTTGTTTTCTAATATAGGCATTCTTACAAGTTTCCCTCTAAGCACTGCTTTAACTACATCCTCCCAAATTTCACATATTGGTTTTTTTCATTTTTATTCAGTTCAAAATACTCTCTAATTTCCCTTTTGATTTCTTATTTGACCCATGGATTATGTATGTGTTTTATTTAATTTCCAAATATTTGGAAAATTTTCAGATATTTCTGTTACTGTTTTCTTGTTAAATTCATTGTGGCTAGATAACATATGCTATGTGATTTGAATGCTTTTAAATTTATTGAGGTTTGTTTTATAGAACAAAATATGATCTTGATATATTCCTTGTGCATTTGAAAATAACTTGTCTTCTGTTTTAGCAGGGAGGGCTCTGTGAATGTTAATTAGATCAAGTAGGTTGATTGTGTTGTTCAAGTCTTCCTTATCCTTATTGATTTTCCATTTGTTCTATCAGCTATTGAGAGAGGGATGTTGAAATCTCTGACTATAAATGTGGATATTTCTATTTTTTTTCTTGCAATTCTATCAGTTTTTGCTTCATGTATCTCGAAGCTCAGATATTACGTTTATAAATATTTGGCTATGTAAATATTGATGAGTTTACTACTGTATCATTTGAAATGACCTTCTGTATCTCTGAGATCTTTATCTCTTTGCTCTGAAATCTGCTTTGTCTGTTATTATTATAGCCAATCCAACTTTCTTTTGATTAGTGTTAGTATTGTATATCTCTTTTTATCCTTTTACTTTTAACCTATTTGTGTCTTTATAATTAAGGTGAGTTTTTTGTAGGTGGCATATAGTTAGTCTCGCTTTTTCATTCAATATGACAATCTCTGCCTTCCAATTGGAGTGTTTAGACTATTTGTATTTTATATGATTTTTGATATGGCTTGGTTTAAATCTATCAATTTGCTACTTGTTTTCTATTTATCCCATTTTCTCTTTGTTTCCTTTGTCTTCTTTCTTTCGGATTGAGTGAGTATAATTTACGATTTCATTTTATCTTCTTTGTTGACATGTTAGCTATACTTTGTGTGTGTGTTTACTTTAGGATTTATACTATACATCTTTAACTTATCACGGTCTGTCTTCAAGTAATCTTATGCCACTTCATGTATGCTGTAAGAACATTATAACAGTACTTTCATTTTTTCTCTCAGGGTCTTTGTTTAATTGTTGTCATATATTTTGCTTCTATCCTTGTTGTAGCCCCCAAAATACATTCTTATTATTTCTTCTTTGGTAGTCAACTATTTTCTAAAATGTTTAAAATTTAAAAATTACTATTTTCTGTTTACCCACATATTTCTAGTATTTATTCTTTTGTGAAGATCCAGATTTCCATCTGGCATCATGTTCACTTTGCATGAAGGACTTTCCTTAACATTTCCTGTAGTGCCAATCTGCTGAAGTACATTTTTTTTTCAATTTTAGTAAGTCTGAAAAAAGATTTTATTTTGGCTTTGTTTTTGTAAGATATTTTTGCTAGGTATAGGATTCTAGGTTGGCTGGTTTTGGTTTTTGTTTTAGTACTTTATAGTTGGTGCTTTGCTGTCTGATTTGAATTGTTCCTGACTAGAAGTCTGCTGTCATCCTTTCCTCTGTTCTTTTATAGGTAATATGTCCTTTTCCTCTGGCTGCTTTGAAGATTTTCTCTTTATCTCTAGTTTTAAGCAATTTAATTATGATGTGGCTTGATGTAGTTTTCTTCTTGTTTCTTTTGTTTGGGGTTCAGTAAGCATGTTTGATATGTGGGTTGAAAGTTTTCATAACACTTTGAGAAAAGTCACACATTATTTTTTTCAAATAACATTTGTCCTCTCTTCTCTCTGCTGTCCTTTGGGGATTCCAATCACATGCATATAGGATGCCTTGACTTTGGCCCTCAGTTCACTGAGACTCTGTTAATTTTTTCCAGTCTTTTTCGTCTATGTTCCATTTTGATTAGGAGCTATTGCTACATCTTCAAATTCACTAATCTTTTCTTCTGTAGTGTCTAGTCTGTTGTTAATTTGTTAATCCCACAAATTAACTTTTTTAAAAAAAATCCATGTGTTCAACTTTCTATCTCTAGAAGATTAATCTGTTTTTTTCCTGTTTTTCCCACTTTCATGTCTCTCCTTAATGTGCTCATGCCTTCCTTGATCTTTGTGCCCAGATGGAACATAGTTTTCTTGAGCTTCAGTCTGGGACACAGTAAGTCACTTGGAAAAGTATGATGCTGTCAAGGCTTCCTGTGAAGCTTTGTTAGATGAGACCAGCCCAGCATTCATTCTAGTGCTGATCTTGTGCCACTGCTGAGCCAATCCCCTTTGAGCATTCTACCCGATGCCCCATGACTTATGAAGTTTTCCCACTCTGGCTGGTGGAAATATGAGCTGTTCCCAAACGTCTGTGAACTCCACGGATTGTTCCTTCTGTTCCTGTTGAGTGGTTATTTCCTCGGTCTCAGGTGGCTTCCTCACACACACAAGCACTGATAACTATATACCTACAGACTCAGTGTGGGGGGTGGTAAAGGGAAAGTGAACTCTGTAACCTCTGGAGCTCTGTCAGTGTATGGCAGCTCCCTCCTCTATGATACTCTGCCTGTGAACTTTAGGTTGGCTGGTTTTTCCTGGACGCCCAACTCTGTCTCCTCAACTCAGGGTGTATGCTCACATCTTCATTGGCCCCCTCCCTCACTGTGGCCTTAGAAACTCTCTCCAGGCAGTGACCTGGGGCAATCCTAGGGCTCACCTCTTTTGTTTCCCTCTTTCACAGATAACTGCCCTGACTGCCATTGTCTAATATTTGAAAACTGCCCTAGTCCATTTGGGCTGCTATAACAAAATGCCAGAGACTGAGTGGCTTATAAACAGCAAACAGTTATTTCTCACAGTTCTGGAGGCTGGGAAGTCCAAGATCATGGTGTTGGCAGATTCGGTGTCTGGTGAGACTCATTTTCTGGCTCACAGAGGACATTTTCCAGCTGTAATCTCACATGGTGGAAGGGGCAAGGGAGCGCTCTCAGGGTTCTTTTATAAGAGCACTAATCTCATTCATAAGGGCTCCACCCTCAGGACCTAATCACATCCCCAATCACTTCCTCACCTCCTAATACTATCACCTTGGGGGGTAGGATTTCAACATATGAACATTCAGACCATAGCAAAAACCATTGTTTGATATAGTTTTTCAAATTTTCAGTTGTTTAATGAGAGTGGGTAAATCTATTCACTGTCATTTCTGCCCTCTAATACCTGTTTTGATTCATAATTTCTTGTTCTTTTAATGAAAACTACTCAAAAATAGCTTTATCTCATTGAGATTCTTAAGTGTGCTTTTCCAGTCATTTTCAGATGCATTATTTTTACTCAGTTGGAAGCTAATTCTCTTTTTTGTAGATTTTATTTGGTACTCTTCTTTTAGATGAAGTTTTCCTTATGCGGTTTGAAGTTTCAGTCTCGGTCTCCCTGTGTGGATGTATTTTAATTTCTGTGCTTACCCAGCCTGTCTAGAGGCTTTACTATTGTTCCCAGTCTGACCTCAGGGTCCCAGTCTCATAATGGTGGCTCAGGGCCACTGTCCTCAGTGATATTCCAGTCCTGGTCTGGCGTCTTTGGGGGTTCTTCCACACAGATATGCAGCTGTATTCAAGTTTGGGCAGTAGTTGCAACTATTTTCTGCCCTTGATTGCTGCCTCAGGCAATGGGCCTGACTGGAGTCCCAGTCATATAGATGACATTTTAATCTCTGTTCCTCCATGAGCTTTGCTTGTAAACTGCCCCTGCCTCTTTTCAGGGTTGTCAACTTTGAAGACAATCATTTCCAGTAAAGCTTTATCACTGTATGTTTCTGTTTCATTTCATTCTTGACCAGGTCTGTATGTTTTTAAATACAACCTTCTTTTGTTTTTTCAGATGTGATTGCTTTGTGTTTGGGTTAATGGGCAGGGTGGATGGGTTTAAATCACAAACCCCAGGCACAGTGTTGACAGGAGCTCTTGTATTAATTTTGAAGGGGTACAGAGTAATCAGGTACCATGTCAGATTATGTTTATAATGAAGAAATTCTCTCAGCTCAGCAATATAAATAAATGATCTGTCAAATTTTGCAAATTCATAAGGTAATTTCTGTAATTTTATGGAAAATTACTTTCTAGACTCATCTTCGAAAAGGAAACATAACTAATACATCAGTGCATATAGAAATTACAAGGCATAATTTTGTTCAGGTATCCCTATTATTAGAAACCATATTAGTTACAAAATACTTTACAGCTCTGTTATCACATAATATTATTCCACATGTTTTCTTAATTTTATGTATTGATTGACATATCACATTAATGCATCATTGTGACATTTTAATATGTGATTATCTAAAATAATTTACATAATTTTGCTCCCTGGTTTTTTAAAAAACTACACAGTGGAGATGAAAAAGTCTGATAAGGTATAACTAAAAGTATTATTAGTTCAAGAACCTTAAATTTGCTACCATCTAATCACCTGATTTCAGTACCCAGGCTACTCTACCAGTCTCCTCTCTTCAGAAACACAGTAGGGGATCAGCCAATGACTCTGGGGGGAAAAACAGCTAAGTTCTAGTATTTGAATTGTTTGTTTACATCTGACTTCCTTTTTACAAAAGCTTGTGTTAATGTCCTATCTTCCCATACGATAGAGCTATTCAGTACAGTGAAATGCCATCATGACTAATGTAGTGTATTATCTGAATAAGCTCACAGGATCAGGCTCACACGTGTATCAATCAGCCTGTGATAGTCCCGGTCATTTGCCTGCTTACTGTGAGCTGAGATTCTACCCGAAGTAACTCGATAGTGCCTGTTAACTACCTATGCGCTTTGTCCTCTCTGGGATCTCTCCTCTGCAGTCAGTGTCTACGTGTCAGTCGCCTGCCCCCTGCCCGTATCATCTTGCAGTTGGTAGCAGAGCCTGGTGATTGCTCTGCCGTCTGATTTAGTCGTGTGCTGTCTCTCCTCACAGGACTGCGTGTTTCTCAGCCGTAGGCCTTTCGTTTCCTTTCTAATTGCCCTGGAGTAGCTGGTACAGCCTCTTTATGAAGGAGATACTGACATATCCTTTCAGGTCTAGAAATATGGGAGGAAAATGAAGAGTGTACTCTTCATACAACTGGTAAGTTATAGTTGATCAAGTTTAATATTTTATTTAGATAATATCAGCTCATCAGGAATCTAGCAAAATGTTTGTCTCTACCACAAAGTCCATAGCATCACATAAGGAAAAATAAAACATATTACAAAGATTGTTTATCTATATTTTATGCTTGGCTCTACTTATTACAAATTCCATGGAGGTAAATGAATTGATAATATTGAGGTAGATTTACTTTTAAAGTCACACAATTATTTAATGATGATGCTTAATCTATTTATGGAGAATCCTACAAGACCAGAATGTATAATTAGTATAATTAGTGCAGAACATACTACTATGGGACTAATTTCTTTCTAAGCTTCTCACATAATTTTAAATGCCTTGAAATAAGAATATCTAAATTACCTGCACTAATGGAAATAAGCTTAGATTTTTTTAAATGTTTTTAAGACTGGCACCTGAGCTAACAACTGTTGCCCATCTTCTTTTTTTTCCTTCTTCTTCTTCTCTCCAAAGCTCCCCAGTACATAGTTGTATATTCTAGTTGTGGGTCCTTCTGGTTGTGCTACGTGGGACACTACCTCAGCATGGCTTGATGTGCGGTGCCATGTCCGTGCCCAGGATCCGAAAGGGTGAAATGCTGAGCTGCCAAAGCACAGCGCGCAAACTTAACCACTTGGCCATGGGCTGGTCCCTCAATCGTTTTTGATGAAGCTTTTAATTACCAAACCTTTATTATAATCTAAATTACTGAGGCCACCAAATTCAGATCTGAAGCACACGAAAGTGGACACTTTAGAACGTAATATCAGAAATAAGTTCCCTAACATCATAGCCAAGCTTTCTATAAAGAGTATATCATAAATATGTGCGCATGTATACATTCTAAGAACTCTCCTCTGAAATGTATTGAATTTCTGTGTTTAACCATTATTTATTCTTCATAAAACACAAATTATTTAAATGTTTCTTCATTTACTTACCACTCTAGAGTGTATTTCTTTGGCATACAATGAGAATAAAAATTCTGATTCTCCTTCCAGGCGAAGTCCATCTTTCATAACACGCAAGTGACCCATTCCTGTCTGTTAAAAACATAGGACAATAGGGATTTTGTTATTGCTTTCTTTTCCATTTCATTTCAACTTAAATTACATATGCATTTTCATAGATTTCCTATTGGTACTTTTCTGTTCTCTTAAATGTTTTATTTAAAACTTTACTTGTTTTTATGTTTTAATATTCAATATTTTCTTAAGCCTTGTGTAAATACAAAGGACTGTTTAGGAAACACATACGCGATTTAAAGAATCACTTTACAATAAATACCCAAGAGCCCACCACCATGTAAGAAAAAGAATCTTACTGTTACTCATTAAATATTGTTCTTATTAAGATGCAGTAAAATGGACTCTTTTGAGGTGTACAGTTCTCTGAGTTTTAACACATGTAACCACCAACACAATCAGGATATAGAAGAGTTCCATCACCATTACCCCCTAAATACCCCAAATACCTTTTTAAGGCTTCAAGTGTATCATGTGGGTTCACAATGTGGCAAATATTTATTGGGCATTTCTTAAGTGAAAAGCAATATAGGAGGGGCCACTTCTGCGGCCGAGTGGTTAAGTTCCTGTGCTCCACTTTGTGGCCCAGGGTTTCACTGGTTCGGATCCTGGGCACGGATGTGGCACCGCTCGTCAAGCCATGCTGGGGTGGCATCCCACATTCCACAACTAGAAGGACCCACAACTAAAAATACACAACTATGTACCGGGGGGCTTTGGGGAGAAAAGGGAAAAATCAAAATTTAAGAAAAAAAGAAAAGCAATATAGGAGGACGTGGAGCTCTACGCAATGTGCCTGTTCTCAAGGAGTTTCCAGTCACGAAGAATTCCACGGAATGACAGAAGACAATTCTGTAGATCTCCAACTACCATCACACTATTAAGTTTTGTGGACATTTTAAAACTTCATTCCCTTTGTGTTCTCAGCAGCATTCAACACTAGACCCCTTTCTCCTTGAAACACGATCCTCATTTGGTTTCCATGATACGCTGCTCCCCCAGCTCTCCTCTTACTTCAGGAAACACTTTCTTGGCCTTGTTACACATCATCCTTCTCTAGCCAGCCTTTGACTGCCGGCTTCCTCAAGCTTGGTCCTCGCCCTTTCCTGCATTCCGTCTCTGACATCCTCTCGGCTTCCATTACCATCTCAGTGTGGAAGGCTCACCCATTTTTATTTACAGTTTAGATTCTCTCTTCTGAGCGCCATACCCACATATATGATTGCCTATCTGTTCTGCACTTTTGAATGTCTTGGAAGACCTAAATTCAACAAAATGATCTTCCCTCTCTTTCCCCAGGATAGAGGCAGATAAAAAAAAGGGAGAGCAGAACAGTAGGGAGAATGAAACACAGACAGCGAGGGACAGCTTATACAGAGACAGGTGATTTCCAGGACAGAAATATGTCACTCTGAGCTGATGCCATAGACTTCTCTTTCAAGAACTCTGCTGGTTGGCAAGCCCATTAACAAGAAACAAACGCACTGTGTGATTGCTCCGCATGGTCATGCATCTGAGCCACCCTGTGGTTCTCTCCCCAAACCTAGTTTTGGGAGCAGCAGTTTTCTCACTGTGTTTAACGGAAGCCCCTCACACTGCTGGGCTCGGGCCAAACCCACTGCAGGCAGAGGAGCCCTCCTGAGTCTCTCCCACACGTGTGGAATTTGGTTGGAAGAAAGAGTTTAAAGTCTAAAAAAGTTGACAAGTACTGTTTTACAGTTTCTCACAGGATCCAACCATGCATTTGTAAAGCATGTTTTAGGAAATCCAATCAACATTAGAAATATTGTAAAATCTATCATGCATGGATAACGAGCTAATTTTTTTTTTAAAGATTTTATTTTTCCTTTTTCTCCCCAAAGTCCCCTGGTACATATTTGTGTATTCTTAGTTATGGGTCCTTCTAGTTGTGGCATGCGGGATGCCACCTCAGCATGGCTTCATGAGCGGTACCATGTCTGCGCCCAGGATTTGAACTGGCGAAACCCTGGGCTACCGAAAAAGAGCACGCGAACTCAACCACTCGGCCACGGGGCCGGCCCCATGAGCTAATTTTTAGTAAACAATTCCATTAGAAATTTTATGTCCTACTGTCAATCAAAGTGAAGTTTCAAGATTACAAATTCTAATGTGAAAATCTGCTGCTGAATTTCTGGGTTCAAGTGAACCAATGCCAGAAATTTTCTGGACTCTATTTTATTTATTTTGTTTTGTTTTAAGGAGGATTAGCCCTAAGCTAACATCTGCTGCCAATCCTCCTCTTTTTGCTCAGGAAGACTGGCCCTGAGCTAACATCCATGCCCATCTTTCTCTACTTTATATGTGGGACACCTGCCACACATGGCTTGGTAAGTGGTGCCATGTCCACACTTGGATCCAAACCAGCGAACCCCAGGCCGCCAAACTGGACCATGTGAACTTAGCCCCTCTGCCACTGGGCGGGCCCCTCTATTTTGTTATATCAGGAAAAAACCCCCGAAAAACTAATGCTAATTCTAGCCTCTGAAGTAGCTAATTTACATAACCACACTGTGAAAGCTAAAGGTCCTTGTCCCGTGTCATTTCCTCCTCTGGTTGTCACTTTCCTTTTTTAAAAAATGAGGGCATTGATGAGAGATGGAAGTCTCCTTCCACCTGTAACATTCTATGATTCTAACGAAATGAATTACAAACCTCTGCAAACAACAGATCACTTTACAATGCTTGAAAACAGAAGAATATGCCCATTTGTTTAGTGTTTTTCAAAGTGAGGTATGTTGAGGCATAATTTACAAATAATAAAATTTAATCTTTTTAGTGAACATTTCTGTGAGTTTTCACAAACTTACACGGTTGCGCAACCACCAACACAATCAAGATATGGAACAGTTCTAGAGATCATAAAAAATGGGCCTCTGTACTCACTACCTGCCTGACACTCCCATTCCTTGGCAACCACTGCTTTCTGTCCCTATAAATTTGCCTTTTCCCGAATGTCATATAAATGGAGTCATACGGTATGTAGCCTTTTTAGACTGGCTTCTTTCACTAGAATTACGTATTTGACATTCCTCCATGCTGTGTGTGTGTCAGCAGTTTGTTTCTTTCTGTTGATCAGGAGTAGTCCACTGGATAAATGTACCAGTTTGTTTGTCCATCTGTCAGTTGAAGGACATTTGGGTTGTTTTGATGATTGTGAAAAAAGCTGCTATGTACTTCTGTGTGAACATAATTTTTATTTTTGTTGGGCAAATGCCTAGGAATGGGATTACTGGTTTGTGTGGTAGGTTTATGGTTAACCTTATTAGAAACAAGAAACCGCCAAACCGTTCAGTTTTCCAGGGTGGCTGTGTCTGTACCACTTTGCATTCCCATACGCAAGATACGAGCCTTGTGGCTGCACCGCATTCTTGCCAGCACTGGTATTGTCAGGTTTTTTCTGCATTCTAATAGGTATATAATGGTATCTTATTGTGGTTTTAATTTGTATTGTCCTAATGGCTAATGATGTCAAACATTTTTCATTGTGGTTTTTGCTATCCATATCTCTTCTGTGGTAAAATGTTTAATTTTTTTCTACTCACTGTTTCTTGTCTTATTATTGATATCTTAGTGTTCTTTATACATTCTGGATACAAATCTTTGTTGGTATGTAATTTGTAAATATTTTCACTCAATGTGTAGCTTTCTATTTCTTTAACTGTCTCTTTTGAAGAAGAAAAGCTTTTAATTTTCAAGTTCAATTGATCAATTTTCTCTTTTGTGGTCATGTTTTTGTTATTTTATATGAGATCTTTGCCTAAACCAAGGACATATATTTTCCTATTTTTTCTTCCAGAATTTTTAGTTTTAGAATACACGTTTATGTCTGTGATCAATTTTTAATTAACTTAGCATATGGTGTAAGATATAGATAGAGATTATCTTGCATATGGCTATCCAATTATTCCAGCACAATTTGGTGAAAATTTTATCCATTCTCCATACTCTTGTAGCTTCGTCAAAAATGAATTGACCATGTGTGGTTCTATTTCTGGATTCTCTATTCTGTCCGTTGACCTATGTGTCTATATTTAGTACACTATATTGATTATTCTAACTTTACAGTAAGGCCTGAAATCATATAGTGGGAGTTCTCTAATTCATTTTTTTCAAAATTGTTTTGGCTACTCTGGTTCCATAAAATTTTTTTATGATGATAAAATTTACATTACAAAGTTTACCATTTTAGCTATTTTTAATTGTATAGTTCAGTAGGGTTAAGCACATTCATATTGTTGTGTAATCACCACCGTCCATCTCCGGAGCTTTTTCATCTTCCCAAACTGAAACTCTGTCCCCTTTGAACAACTCCTCATTCTCCTCTCCCCCTGGTAACCACTGGTCACCCAGCCCCTGGTAGCCACTATTCTACTCTCTGTTTCTATGAAATTGACTGTCTAGGTACCTCATGTAAGTGGAATCATATACAATATTTGTCTTTTTTTGTTTATTTCACTTTATTCTAGTTTCTTGGCCTTTAAATGTAAGTTTTAGAACCAGCTTGTCAAGTCTACAAAAAGATCTGCTGTGATTTTGATTATTATTGTATTGAATATAAGTATCAATCAGGGAAGAATTGACATCTTAACAATATTGAGTCTTTCAATGCATGAACATTATTTCTCCATTTATTTAAGTTTTGAAATTTCTTTCAGCCATGTTTGTAGTTCTCAGTATACAAATCTTACCCATATTTTGCTTGATTTTTACGTAAATACTTCATGTTTCCTGGTGCCATTATAAATGATATTTTTATTTCATACCAACTTTCATTTAGTCACTATTGTTCTGGAATATGCTTTTTCCTTCTTTTATTTTCAAACTTTTTCAATTTTCTTTTAATTATGTTTCTTGAAAGAAGGTTTTAGATGTTATTTTTAAAAATGTAACTTGATAATGTCTATTAATAGTAGAGTTTAATATTCACAGTCCTTGAAATTACTGGAATATTTGGACTGATTTCTACTTATTTTTTTATTTAAGAAAATTTACACTGA